AAATAATATTTTTGATATTTTTAGAAAAAGAAGAAAGCGCAGGTGTCGGTCATACACTCAAAAGTGAAAGAAATCAAAGATAAGGAAGGCGCTAAGGAAAAAACGGAACCTCAAGCACCAGCCTATGTAAAGCGTAAGTGCCGCATTACTCGATCACTCTAGTAGACAGTCTCGGAAAAAGCCCTATTTCAAGCCGCGAAAGCGAAGCATACCACCCAGCAACAACAGCAAGCTTCAACCAACGTCAAAAAGGTGCAGCCCGTGGCTCCCATGCACAAATTGAGGTTTCTTCTTCAGATTTCATTCTGATTTTCCTCTGTTTCTTGCAAGCTCCCTGTAAGATCTTCTCTGGTGAAGCAAATCCACTGATGTACCTTTAGTGCGAAGCTCTCCATGTCTCCCAAAGCACCAACGAATCAACGAAAGAAGAGTAGTGGCTTTACGGAAGCCGATCGGCGGCTGGCACGAGCTCAACAACTCATGGATGCTGATCTTGACCGACCTACCGTTCCCTCATCTGATACGGCTCCCATGTCTACTTCGAATAATCCAAGCGCGAATGTTCAGCCTTCTGTTCGATCTGTTAGTTCAAAACGCGAAGAAAAACGTCGAGAAAGTGGCGAGCGCGAAAAAGCTGGTACGATGTTTTTTTTTCTTCCTGAGAACATTGGTAATTATCACTTTTTCAGAACATGTTCGTCAGAAGCCCCAGCCTGTTCCAGTCGCTCCCGTCCAGCAAAAAAGGTCCACATCACCGATGATCACCGCAGATTCTTCAGTAGCGACTGCTCTTCCATCTACACCAGCTTCAAGTACCCAGCCCACTGCCTTCACCGCTTCTTATAATGCGCCCACATCGAGCACTATGACGAACTCCGTACCGATGACTCGACCATCCGTTATTCCTGTTTCCGCTGTTCATCCAACGGTCTACCAAACAGCGATCACTGGAACGGAACCTATTCCGATACCTGTCATGCTGCCTGTCATCCCAACTCTAATACCCGGTCTGACGTTACCAATCGGTGGAATGGACATGACGAGTGTTTCTTTGGGAGCACTGGCTGAATATTATGGTCAAATGGCTACCTACGACGAGTCAAATATGCCAGCCACTCCTACACCATCACTAGCTTCCAGTATCGGAACTGAACGAACGGTAATTCATAGCTTTTACCTTTTACTGAGAACAGACAAAAGAATTACAGTAGCATTGATGCGTCTCTACAATGCTTTATAGGGAGGGTTGCGAGAGATGAACAGCGACTTCGTTCGCTCACGACGCCATAGCGAAAGTGAACATAGTGTGGCGAGTGAGCTAAGTGCTGCTCCTGATTGGCTCGATGAAGTTGTGGGACCAGGTTTGTCTCTTTTTAGTGTTACCTTCATGCATAACCTTTTGGCTCATTAGAATACGTTTTGTCTTCAGACGATGTGGATGACGATTTTTCGGCTATGGCGGCAGCAAGCGAATTCCTAATGAGTGCATCTGGTGAAGATGCCAGCAGTAGCAGAGCTCAAACCCCTCAACCAGCCCTACGTCCCACTACCAATATCCAGCAGCCGCAGCATCAGCAACAGCAGCAGCAGAAAAGACGAGTTCGCCGTGATAAACGCCGTCGTGGTGGAAGGAGTAGTGGAAACGAAAGCGCTAGTAGTAGTGATAAAGTGTGTTTTGGAGAAATTCTTCAATCAACAAATTATTTGGGCGCTGTATTCTTGATATTTAGTCACATCGTAATGCAATTGGAGCTGAACGTGTTCCGAAGAAAACCCTAGCCGCTGAACTGAATGAAGAGCGACGTCGTCGAGAGGACGAATATTTGAGGAACAACAATGCAGGTACGAAGGCATTGACTAACGAATACCGAGAGGCTTCATTAGTTTCAGAAAGAAACCACTAAAGTTCATTCTCATGAGGTCTGTAGAAGTGAAGTTCTAGTGATACCTTCGATTAGAGCCACCCAATTGTTTTCTCTAAAAGCAGAGGAGGGGGAAGGCATCCTTATGTACTGTGGATACATGTCTGCTCATTTACTATTTCCTCCAGTTTTCTAATTGAGAGCTTTTGACAGTAACTCAGGTCTATATACCAACCCTACCTTTATGCGGTTGTGCAATATCCTAAATAAAAAGTTAAAATTTGAGCTCAATCGCAGTTGGTGATTCCCAATAATCTGGCTTTCTGTATAGGTGGTCTTGGTGATTGGCCAATGCCGGATCTTCGTCTCGGCTCACTCATTGAAACTGACGAACGAGTTAGCGTAAGTGTTGTTGCTCTTTCCCAGTGTTTCTCAGAATG